CCCCGGCCGTCGTCTCCGGCGGAGGCTCGACGCGCGCGCTCGGGGGGCGTCGACGCGCCACGGCCCACCGCTACAAAATTTAAATTACCACGTCACGCTGGATACTTACACGCTATTTACAGGGCGCCGCGGCGGAAGACGACGCGCGGTCTCTCCCGGCGGCGGGCAGAAACGCGCGCGTCGTCGACGTGACGCCGCTCCGCAAATTCCGCGGCGCGGAGATATGTGGCCGCCCCCCGGGCCGGAGGGCGGGGGGCGATTTCTAATAAATAAATTAAACCGGCGGAGAAAGAAGAGCGGAGAGAGGGGGGAGAGATCAGAGCTCGAAAAACAAACGGATGCAAGAGGAATAAATACTGCCGCATCCCAGAGAAACGGGCAGATCCAAAACCAGGGTGACGTTTTCGCTTTCTACCGGAGGAGGGCGAAGAGGAGGGAGAGGCGGAGGGGGCCGGCGTCCGGAAGCGTCGGCTCGAGACGACGCCCCCACGCCGCCGAAAGCCGCCTCCAGAGTGACCAGGGTGAAGTCTCCCGGGAATCATAAATCCGGGAATCTGTTGGGGTCTTCTTGGTACTCGGAGGGTACGTCGAACAGGGCGTCGGCCAGGTCTTTGCGGAAGTGGAAATCCTGAAAGGTGATTCGGGCCGTCACCGTGGGCAGAATGGGAATATCTGCAAAAGCCAAAAATCAGTGGAGTGTGGTCGGACCGCGGCCAGAACACAGGACGGCACTCACCTATTTTGACGGGAAAGCCGGAGGGCAACTTCATCTGAACGAACTCCCGTAACTTATTGAAGTGTTTGAAGGGCGCGATGACCTCCAGAACGTTCAGCAGACTGAAATGCGGGAAAAACAGACGGTTAGAAGAGTCGGGCGGCGCGGGCGCGTAACGGAAAAAGAAAAACATCAACTTACGCGTCGACCGAGAGAGGAAATTCTTCGCTCTGTAAAGCAGAAAATTCGGCGAATTAGCACCGGACCACCTTCGATTTCTACTTGTAAATATTAAGACCGAATTGCCCGCGGGCCGAAACCCGAAGATACCACGCGCGGTTCCTTTTTCGCCGTCGACGGATAAGAAGGAAAAGGGTTTACCATGGCCAGTGTGGCTTTAAACACTTTCGACGTCTCTTTGCACATCATGCTGCGTCCCAAGTGGCAGTTCTTTCCCACCGGCGCGTTGACGTATTCCTCCCAACTTATTCGAGACACCTTCGGAGGCTGTAACGACTTTCTCCTCTGCGGCTGCCAACAAAAATATTATTATTTAACCACGGTCCGAAAAGACAAAACCTAATTGCAGTCTATTCTGTCGGAATCGGAAAAGTCTCCCGTTTCCATCGTCGCGGCCGTTTTACGGGAATGTCCGACACATGGGGACAGAACATTTTTTATCCTCGGTCAATTACTGAAATTATCGGTCCCCTCTTCTTAGCCGCGGTCGAATTCGAGGGTGGGCTACGTCCGTTCTTTTCTCCACGGATTACCCCAAATACGACGATAAACCCTGGCCGGACACCTCCTTTACGTTTAGCCAATCCGAGTACGAGAAAGTTAATTCGTCGGTAAAAAGTAAAAGGAAATTTCGGCTACCGGCTTCGTTGAGCGCGAAATATCACGAGTAAATAGGAGAATTTGTACAATTTAAGGCTTACCTCCGAACCGTCCAAATTGACGGAATTTCCCTTTGTAAAACTTTCGATTATTGCTTTATTTTTTTGTAAATCTTCTTCCGTTAAATGTTCTCTCCTGGAATTAGAAACCGTTTCAGCTTCGTCACTTATTGTTTAAATTACAAAACTTCCATCGACATTGCGTCGTCACTAAATAAACGAAATTTAATGTCGTAACACAAAACTCAAATCCTAATTGAAAAACAACAGTAGTTATTCCGGCTATAACGACGGATTACAATATTTATTTATTTATTCCTTAAAAGGAGATTGATTAGCTTACTTTATTTTATTGGAAAAGAAAATAATTACGCATGGGGTACATTTTATTTTCCCGGCCGTTACGTACACGTAACCGGGGAAATTTTTGGAATCGTTTTTTGCCTATCTCCGGGTTTTGACACTTCCCGAATCCAAACGAGTCAAAAAATTTCCGTGGATGCGTGTGTGTCGACTATTTCTATTTCGCTTAATATCTCGGGATTAAGTAACGAAATTTGGCGTAAGCCGGGGACATCCATGCTATTCGAGTTTGGTGGTTAAAGATCGAAGGGTGGAAAGTAAAATAAGTCGCGCGTATCTCCGGTAGGTCGGACTTAATGACGATTTTACTGCTTATTATACTTTATATAAATAAAACTCGTCCCTACCCTCAAAATTAAGCGTTTTGCCACTTTATAGTAATTAGCGTCGGCTAGAGCGGCACGACTGAAAAAATGTGAGACCACGGAGAGCGTCCTTTGTCGTTGGAAAAAGCCAAAAATCGTTAGGAGCGAGGTCTTGAGAGTAGGGAGCGTGAGAAACCACTTCGAAGTCGTTTTCGCCAAGAAACCCGTGTGTAGCATTGCCCGAAGAGCTGGGGTATTGTCTCGATGAAAGAGCGCGCGTACAGCCTTTCCCGGCCGTTTTTCTAGCCAAGTTCGAAGCAATTCGTAATGGCAACGCGATTGCGCGTGTGAAGCAACTGGCTCCAAGCGCGCACTGGTGTCAGATCGGCTGGTGCGCGGGAAATGCGCCTCGTATTTCACTCCGAGTCAAATAAAATTACTGTAGCGAGTGTTATATGTTAAGAATTAATTAACCCGAAGAACTCGGCTTCTTGCGAGAAATCGAACGTATTTTTAGACCTATCTAAAAATTCTCTAATTAGTCTTGGAAGAGGATGAACCTAATTCTCGCATCTGGTAAAAACGGTTAAGACTGGCTATAGAACTATGAAGGTTATCTTAAGTAAGTTGTTTATCGCACAGAGTGACCGATCTAACACGTTTTAAAACTTCTTACTCCTCTATTGTACGCAACTTAAAGAATTTTTAAAATGTGTTAGGTCGGGCGCTTGTGATAAACTCTTACGTAAGATAACCTTCGTAAATATAAATCAAATACTATAATGTAATACGATAGAAGTACGAAATAATCCAATAATATTAATCTTTGTTGTAGTTATTTTTTTGTCCGAGCGACGCTGGGCTCGTCCGCTAGTTGATAGAATAAATATTGAATGTAATTCGCGTGTTTTTTTCAATTTTAACAGGCGTCATTTTTACACTTTTCTGGTCTCGAAAATAGAGGCGCGAATTACAATTGGGCACAAAGTAATGCGACCTCATTCGCATCGTTTGCTCTGCTTTTCTTCTAGTTTCGCAATTTACGTGTATTACGGTCGGTATAAACGTGGTACGCGTCCCTCTGGCTACTTCGGTTTTAATTTTGGTTTGGGAACACGAACGGTCTTTGAACTATAGCCAGCGGAGTGTTCTATAAAGCTATCTTTAAACGGAGTTATCCACTACGCTGAAGAACACGTAAGCTTATAGATATTCCAATGTTATATTATGTATCTGGTAAATTTTGTGTTTGCGCGTATCAATGTAAAATTTCGTTGTTAAAATGTTGGTCGTATCGTAATTTTGACTAACTTTTGTACCGATCTGCAGATTCTCCGTACCCGATAAATGTGACCGTCGTCAAGCGCTTTAAACCTGAAAATAAAACACTTTGCATTTATTGCCGTTTGAGTACATTAACTTCCCGTGGCTGCGTATTATAGTGTAAGCGTATTTGGAAGCTAACTACTTTCCAGTTTGATGTCTCGAAAACCACTGCACGTTCTACTCCATGGCCAGCGGAATCCACATATTGCTGCAAACAGCACTATAATGCATTTATACACGAGCGTATAAAATATTCAAGCCCGACTGGTATTAGCAATTAAATTCTGTATTTGGCTACATTTATCGGGTTTTAGAGCGAGACTACCCCTAAAACACTTGCATCGCTGTCGGACTTGGGCAAGTCCTCCAAGTTTGTCTTCCATTTTAATTAGAAGTGGACAAAATTTGAGTTGCAAGATTCGAAGATGCGATACGCGGCGAGTTAACAGAAGCATTCGACGATAAAGAATCTTAAAATGTCAATAATCAGAACTTAATTACATCCATTTACACCATTCTATAAAGTCGAAGAAATACTTATTACTTATATACTGACCTCTTTCGTGATTCTAATAAGAGTCCATTAATAATGTAGAAATCTGCTAAAAATGGTCCGACCATCTCCTGAAATAAACAAACAAAACAGTTTATGCTAATCTCCACTCGAGTTTAAATGATTACTTAAGCATAATACACACCACATACAAAATAAACTTTTAAATTTGACATTTTATCAGTCACAGAATAATTCTTTAATTAAAATACATTATTAAGTATTTAAGTTCATATAATATTAAAACATATTTCGGCATAAGAAAAAAATAAATATAAAACTTCATTTGCTTTAATAAAATATTTATGAAATAAACAAGGCACACATTTACCCAAATTAAACCGTAAAGGATGGAACTGTTTATGCAGAAATTTGAATCTATGGAATGTCCACTGATTATTGAAATGGCCCGGTTTAAAATTAGAGAGAAACTTTTGATTTTTATACCTCAAACCCATCTCAAACAGAATTTTGCATATTTGAGAGAAATCAAACAAGTTTTTGCAGATATTAAGTTTTAATAACTGAAATGTGACAAAAATACCAACAATATACATAGATTAACCTCAAAATTCATTGCCAAACGTCGTATCTTTTAAGATCAAAATGAAAATAATGTTCTGAAGTGAAACTTAAAGTTAGTGGTCTTAACTTAACTTTTGTGGTTATGATAAGTTTGGGTTTGAGGCATATTAATAGCCAATAGAAAATTGTTAAAAAGTAGATCACATAGATTGATAAATTCTTTAAAAATTGCTAAATTTAAACAATTTTTGTTGAAAATAAATCTCTGCGATTACAGAATTATTTTTAATCAGTATATATGCTTGATTGAATTAATTTTGTTTGTATCAAATCACAAGTTTTATATATATAATTATTTTACATTGAGACAATCCAAAATTATCTTTTTTTAACTGATGTGTCTAACAGTTTCAATCAAATTTGCTTGTGAATTCTCATACATAAATCTTAGAATTTATAATATAATATAAACAAGCAAATGTGTAAGACAAGTTTTCTGAAGAGATAAAGTTGCAAAAATTTCGTTGGTTGCATTATTGTGATGGTGAGATTGCAAATGAAAACTATAACTATAATGAATTAAACTGTAACATTTGTTTTCTTTGTTTATAGCGGGGCTTCTTAAACTATGGGTTGCTTAGCAAAATCTTGGAGTCGCGAGATTTTAATGCAAAATATTGAAAATAATTTGTGAGAGTTTGAAAATGGCACACTTTGTGTCATAGGTTTCGTGACTTGCGCTTTGTGTCACTTCTGGTGCAGCGAGACAATGATTCGGCAACACTGATTGTAGTGTGAACTAGTGTAGTGTTGTCGCTTTTAAGTGTATTCGGTTGTCTCTATTCCATTGTAACACAAGAGTGAACTGTGGTAGTACACCATTATTGTTTTTGCAAATTTGTATATATCTTTATTTTATATATATATATTTTTTGGGGGGATTGCGAAAAAATCACAATCATAAATGGGGTTGTGAATAAAAAAAAGTTTAAGAAGCCCTGGTTTATAGAAACAAAAATAAGTAAAAGAAAAATGTGAGTTAACTTCCATATTTGAATGCTGTTTTGTCACACTGCTTTTTATGAAACTACTATTATTTAACACTTTTATTCACCTATGCTTGTTTCTGAGAGTAAATCATTTGAATAGAGGCTTTATAACAAAGTTATTTATCAAGATTTACATTGCCTTAATTTCCATTAAAAACATGAATTGACATTTACTCCATAAAAGTTTACTAGAACGAAAACAAAATCTTTGTGTAACTCACATTACCATCACGTACTGCACGCTGCCAAAGTGGGCATTTTAAATAAAACTCTTACTGTCTCAAATATTTCATTTTTCTCCTTTTTCATTTTATTTAGGATATAATTATATCTATAATGAACTGCCAAAATAAGTGAAATAGTATTCAACATTTAAAACTGACCCAACTTTAGGCTATTCTATTAAGAGTAGAGAACAAAAACTGACAAAATTTTTTATCATTTGATAAACAAAACACAAGTGAAATACATAATAAAAATAAAAAGTTTATTTTAGCATTTATTTAGACATTATCAACTTGAAAAAATTAATAGAACGGTTTGAGAGTCAATCACTTAATTGTTACAGTGAATAACAAATTCACTGTAAAGGACTAACATACAATAAGATTGATAGTGGACTTGTAAATAATTCTCTGCCAGATATTATTTAGAGACAGAAAAGTTAGTTTTCAAGATAAAAGTTCATGTAAGTGTGTCTAAAGTGTGGATTGATGCACAGAAAATGGACAGAGGACTAGAAGGCAAGATGTATGTATGCATTACTTATAGTTTTAGAAAAAGTTTCAATAGTAAATGAATGTGCTTGCAGCAGGCAAAGGATTTTTCACATTTTTGAAAGACATTCATGGTAAGTTTAGACAAAGGAAAGGCTATTAGATATGTTTGTGTTTGAGTTAAAATTAGCAGATGGTCCTCATCATTACACAAACCATTATCAAATTGACTTTTAAAGACAGATTACTCAAGAGCTATTTGCAAGAAATTACAGTACTTTACAATTTTGTAAATGTAATCATTAGTGTAAAAATCTGTATTTTGATATAACAATTTAATGTTGGTCAAATAAGTCTCTAAATTCAAAAACAGTTTTTTCCTGATGTTGCAAATTGAAAATATCTTTTAAATGCAACACTCTTTCTATAAATTTACAATTATTCTATTTCTCTAAAGAAATCAAGTACAAATGGATCAATTCTTTATGAGAAAGCAAGTATTTATTCAAGGTATTGTGCTTTTATATCAATGAATTACAGTAAAACCTGGATTTAACAGACAAAGTTACTTCATGTAAGGCTGATGTCTTTCTTGTATGTATGTATGTATGTATGTATGTATGTATGTATGTTATGATAAGTTTGGGTTTGAGGCATATTAGCAGCCAATAGAAAACTAACATAGCCATCCAAAGAAGCAGATTATACTACTTTTTTAAACAATTTCAAAAACACAAGAGTTATGGAAAATGCAATTTCTTATCAGAACAGGAGTAGATTGTTTGAATTTCCAAAAAACCTAAGTTCAAAACAATAAAAGAAATGAGTAATTTAAGTATTCAATAATTCTCAGGGTGATTATATATTGCCATACGATAACTAACTTAGAACTAATCAATAGAATTAGAATTCTTTCTTTCCTTTGTCTGTACATTTCTAAATTAAAATGAAACTTGAATCTACAACTAAAAAATAGTTTGTATAGTTATATGACAGCTGATAATTAATATAGCTTGAAAGAGCCTGCAAATAGATCTGGCTGTAACTGATTTAAATCATTTATATTTAATCATTCTTTAAAACAGTTAAATCATTTAATCTGTGTATTTATGATTTGCAATAGGCATTTCATATAACATTTTGAATTTGTTTTGAATGTTGTCACGATATACTGAAATAAAATTTGGTTCATATTAAACTCCAATTATAAATAATAGAACATTTTTCATTTACTTCAATGAATTTTTATAATTGATTGTATTTGTTAATTGATAAAAATAATTTGTAAGCAAAATTCATTTTGTTTCAAATTGATAAAAATATCTTCTCTCTTCAACAGAAATTCTCTTCTTTTTTTTATGTTTTCTAAAATTGTTACACTAAAACATTATTGCTTAAATCATATTTAAATTATTTATTGTTGTAGTTTTGAATGATAAATCAAATAACTTACTGTTCTATATTCTCTGAATAGCCAGCCCGTCTGCGCTCGTGTGAAAGTTATGGATTTTGTAGACATTTGGGCCGCAACTATGTCGCTGCTCATCAAAATATCCACTTCATCTTCTATTTCGGCTTCAGATTCCTATAAAATACAAACTCTGTGAAATTGAAATCCAAACCACGGTAGGTCTATGATGAAATACTGGTCGTCCGTACCTCGTATCTTACTATCTGGTAAACTTTTAGTTTGTTATCCAGAACGATCAGCGACTTTGAAGGTTTCGCATCTCCGTTAAACAAAAAGCTGATGTCGCCTCTTTCCCATTTCATATCACTGAAATCGACTAGAGTCGTATCTAACCTGTTTGAAAACAATTTAAGAGATAATTCTAATAAGAATAGGTAGACAAAGTTACTTATCACCTCTTAAAAGTCTCAGTTTTAAAAATAATTACCAGTTTATTTGTCTCTGTGAACATAAAAATCATTACACTTATTATTTTTTATAATAATATACAGGTATCCCTTGTATAACATGGTAGTTACATTCCGTAAAAGTGCTATGTTATGCAAATCTGTGATACACATAAAAAGGACAAATGCAAAACATAGGGTTAGGTTCCAGAAGTTAGCAAAATTAAATTTTTTTACTAAGAGAAGTATGTTTATTAAATCAGTCAATAATTTATTTCCAATCAATAATTAATTAACAATCACAAGTAAAAGTACCATATTACATGTTAATATTAATTTTAGTTAAATGAGGGAGTTTTCTTTTCACAAAATTTTATTGTCTTCTGAGCTTTTTTGTTGATCTTAATCAGAAGTATCGACTACTACATTTTTCTTATTTTTGTCATAAAAAATTTTTATGGACGACGAAATAAAAATATGTTATTAATCAAAAATGTATTCTAGCAATTCATGTTTGTTCAGTTGAGTAACAAGTGACTTTTTTCCAGAATTTGTGTTTGAATACCAACATACCATTGTATTTCATTTGTCATTTTTACAAATGGTTAAAAAAGTTTAATAACACTTACCTTTTTAGGTAAGTGTTATTATATGAAGGTTAATCTATAAAAAGAAAACACAGCGACAGTCTTAAGGGATAAAGTCTGAAAGCAACAATAATAATGACAACCACCACCAATTGTTAGGAAATTAGGACAAAGAAGGAAAAAATTGCAGTATCAGTTTTCTTTAAAGTATACCTGATGAAAAGCACAAAATAATTTGAAAATTTCAATTCTTAAAATCTGTGGGCAAATTTGAGACGATGCACGTGCTTACTTAAAAAAAATATTGAACAACAAAGTTTACACTTAAAAACTGTGAAATTTTGTATGTAGGATTTCCAAAACCATGTTAGAGCAAAACTGGAAGTTGTGTGATACAGGGGATATCCCCAATTATCAAACAGTGTTGTACGAGGGATACCTGTATTTCTGATTACTTGAATTTTTGTTTATTTCCATACAGTAGCCCCCCTATAACACGATAAGACAATTCAGTTTTATATGAATTCCATGTTGTACGAGTCACTTAGATTTTACAAATATGTGTGCCGGGCTGTGAACAGCTCATGTATTTGTAAAATCTAAGTGACTCATACAACGTGGAATTCATATAAAATGGAATTATCTACCATATTATAGGGGGGTCTACTGTATTAAAGGCATCTTGAAATGCCTTTTATATGGAAATAAAATTGATTAAAGCTTATAAATTTAACACATTTACAAGCTTTAATCAATTTAAAAATTCATCATATTTATTCCTATAAAGTAACAAAACATATTGACTTGTAATCTACCAAACTTATATAAATATGTATAATAATGTTAGATTACAAGCCAGTTATTTACTTCTAAAACTAAGATTAAAAAAATTCTGAAGTATTTTTACATAATTGTCTTCTAAATTTAATTCCTTTATAATTGTTTTGCTTATCACAACTTGTTTTCAATGTTTAAATGACAAATTCTAGCTTTTTAACTTCCCAGCTTATAATTATTATATGAAGCTTAACTTTCATTTACATTATTATACAGGGTCTTTCAACATTAGGTGTCATTTTAAATCAACAGAAAAATGCAATGTTTTTGTGAAAAATGGTGATATTTTTATTTTAATCTAAAGTACAAACTCTGAGGTTAGTAATGGAACACAATATCTGCCAAATGTCCACCTCGGCTCTTCTTACAAGCATTCTTTTGATGAAATTTTTCATCACGTTTTCACATAGTAGCAACTGTATTTCGCCAATAGCAGATGTAATATTGTCTTTGAGTGCTTGAATCATTGCTGGAGCATTGGCATAGACTTTATCTTTAACATAGCCCCAAAGAAAAAAGTCTAATGGTGTTAAATTGCAAGATCTTGGCAGACAATTGAAGTCTCTACTTCGAGAAATCACATGTCCAGGAAATTTTTCACGCAATAGAGCCATTGTTTCACAAGCTGTGTGGCAATTAGTGCTGTCCTGCTGAAAATAAATGTCATCTGCATCCATAGCATCAATTTTAAACAAAAAAAAAAAAAAAAAGTTAGTCAACATTGTTCGGTAACGCAATCCATTCACTGCAATGGTCAAACCAGCAGCATTTTTGAAAAGTATGGACCAATAACACCACCAGCCCAAAAATCTCACCAAACTGTCACTTGTTATGGTTGGAGAGGTTGTTCAACTATTTCTCTTGGATTTTCGGAGCCCAGATGCAACAGTTTTGCTTGTTTACGTACCCAGACAGATGAAAATGAGCCATAGCACTCAGAATAATTTTGTTTAAAAAATCATGATCTTGTTCATGCATTTCCAGCACCCAATCAGCGGATACATGGCATTGTATGTGATCTGCTGGCTTCAATTCTTGTGTCAACTGTAACTTATAAGCATGTAGGCCAAGATCTTTATGCAAAATATGGTGCAAACTGGCTTGTGATATCCCCAATTCCTATGACTATCTCAAAATGGACAAACCTCAGTTTTCAGCCGCACTCAGCTAAAGCAGCGATATTTGCAGCTGACCTGGCTGGATGAGCACAAGTTGGAGTCTACACATCATTAACTTGTCCAAGACGTTCGAATTTATTGATTACATTCAATATAGCTGTGCGAGAAGGTGCTTGATGACGACCAAATGCAGTATGTACTTTATGAACCATCTTCACAATATTTTCACCATTTTTCTAGTGGATTTTCACTATTTCAATGCATTGTGCGAGTGTGTATATCTGAAAACCTCCTAGTTTTTACTTGTCAAATGTCACTGCAATGACATTGTATGTTGACAGTTGAAAAATGATGCAAAATTTAAAATGACACCCATTGTTGAAAGACCCATTATAATTCAATTTTTTGCTTACAATTATATTCTGAATGTCATAAAATGGCATCAATCTGAATTCAATGTGTGTGTAGAGAAAGCACTTTGATGATATTATTATTTTCAATTAAAAGCTTACGACATCAGATGGCACTGAAAGCTCATCGGCAAATGGATTAATAATTTTATAACACAAAAAATTATAGCTTTGTATTCTACATATAATGTAAAAAAATCTATATTTATTCATATTTTATTATTCTGTGAAGAAATAAAATAGTCTGTAAGAATTTTGTGATTTGTTATATTAATATTAATTACAGATTCATAACTAAAATTTTTAATACTCTTAATTTTAAACTGATAATTCTATACAGCGTAATTATTTCAAAACATCAAACTAATAGTGAATATAGAAAATAATTTACCTGATATTTGAACCTTTCTTGTGAATTCGACATATGTCTGAAGGTAATATTCTGGACACGAGAGGAACTAAAAAAAGAAAGAAATATTCTTAAATAGTCAAGATATTTAAATACAATGTAATAAATACTATAGTAGTTATAATGTTTAAAATAGATGCCACAAGTATTCAAAGAAAACTGTTGATCTAATTGCAAAGCATGTCTACTTAGCAATTCTACAATCAGTCAAGAATATTGAAAGATAAAATAATGCTTTCTTTTTGTCAAAAATTAGTGAATGTTTCTAAGCACAATTAATGTTTAAATCTAATCTAGAAATAACAAATTTTCAATTTATATCAAATTATTTTATACTTAGAAAAGTATTGGCTTATATTAGTATTCTTAATCCATAATTTAAAGGATTTATAACTGCTAAAAACCATATATATACATCTTTGTCGTAGATAAACACATGCGTTCCTCTTATATAAATACCTGTCAGTAAATAACCACACCATGATAGATACCTTAAAAACCAGTAGTATTTTTAATTTTCAAATGTTTTTGGCCATTTTTATTGACCTTTTGGATAAAATGGCAATTGAATGACTGTCAATATCTGTCAGTATTTTCCACAGAAATTTTCACCTGCTGCACGGAATGAAGGAATACTTCAACGGGAGTTTTCACCTCCCAAAACAATGCTGCCTAGTGTTATAAAATTTTATTTATAAATATAATTCTTCTTTTTTACAATACAGCCACTCCTCAACTTAACAACCCACCTGTTTAATGCCGACTTACCACTCCGACTTACAACCTACTTTAATCTTAGTCTAATTCCCACATTGGTCAATATTCACTATACAAAGCATTCACAATTTACAAGACTACATATTTAATTTATAACTATGTACTTTATTATGCATCCCATTTAGAAAATTTGATGACTAAAATACTAATCTGAATATCATTTTCTTTTAATGAATGAACTTTTAATTTTTTGTGGTATATCATTTTTCTGATTTTTCTGATTGTATTTTTATGTTCTGTAATATGTAAAAAATGCCTTTTCTTTATTTACAATAAATAAAAATGATTAAACTCCTCATTTAACAACCTATTCTTAGGAATGGAAATCTATCATTAAGTGAAGAGTGGCTGAAAACTTTTCTTGAAGGGTATTTGAAGGAGACTGTGCAAGGTTAATTCATCACTCTGCAATGTCTGTCAATAGACGATTAATTTGATAAAACAATCTCTTTTTGACTATGGCCATCGGTTTAACCTTTCTTAAAATGAGTAAAAAAGCACCATTCTCTGATCCAACTTTTTACTCATTGAAATGCAATTTAATAAATACAAAGCTATTATTATATTTAATATGCAAAAAACTGCACACACGTGCTTACAATAAAAACCTTTTGAAAAATTACTGCAAAAACAAAAATTTCCCATTTCTGAAACATGGAAATGCCAAAGACAAACTTAGTTCCCACTTGCAAAAAGATTGAAATGAAAAGCAAGCAAATAACAAAAATTTGTGTCAACTTAGTTTTCCAAAAATATAAAATGCCTGTCTTGTGGAATACGGAAAATCAAACAATGTCTACTTTTGATGTATTAGAATGATATCAAAATATCAAGATGGATTATAGTCAAGAGCAAATTATTCACCTGTCAAAATAATGTCATTCTTGATTTCCTCTCCTTTCTGTATTTTTTTTCTGAGAGTTCAATATCAATGTATAAAAGTTAATATGCATTTCACATTTTGTCCTAAGTGATCAAGGTTTTGTATGGTATATTCTCATGCTGATCTATTAATGTCAAATTATTTGCTTTCAACTTTGTTATTTAGTTCTTTTCCTGCATATGGTAACAAAAAAAAACCCTTTTAAGTTGGTTTTCTGGACTCTCTCTACTCTAAGCAAATGGAATATTTCTGTTTTCTGTTTCTGTAATATATGGAAACTTAACTTCACGATTATTTCCATTCCTCTCATTATTCATTATCAACTCATGTGATCTGCTAGATTAATTAATCTGGAAGTTGTTGAAACTAGCTGGGAAATGACACTCACTAGAAAGGCATCAGCAAAAACAGAATTTGTTAATTTAAATTTAACAAGTTTTGTGTTTGTAATGATTACAGTAGACCCCCTATAACATGGTAGATACGTTCCGTGTTATATGAATTTCGTATTGTACGAGTCACTTAAATACGTGAGCCAATCACAGCCCGGCACGTGTGCAGTTTAGAGGCTATGGCAGTTTGAAAGTTTTTCTTCCATAAAATTAACCGATTCTAGACTAATTCGACTCAACATTTCCAAAATACGTATAATTTTTTGGGAATAATCCATATAAACTATGCTATAAACAAAAAATTGTAGGATTACTTACTGAGTGTGCACCGTTTCACAACACCATTGCTTAAGCTTGTTTTCATTGCAAAGCGGCTCATCTAACAGTGGGCATGTGCTTCCTGATAAATTATTTTTCTGCAAAAAATTCGCTGAACTTTGGAGACATCATTAATATAAATATAATTTTTATGGCCTTTAAATAATAAATGATTTTTAGTAGGTCTGCTGCTCGTTTAAACTCAACAGTTTGTGCAATATCCACTATTCATCCAGATTCGACCAATCCTGTCGTGNCTTTAAATAATAAATGATTTTTAGTAGGTCTGCTGCTCGTTTAAACTCAACAGTTTGTGCAATATCCACTATTCATCCAGATTCGACCAATCCTGTCGTGACACGAGTCGACGATGACATTTTACTGTGTTATACAAGTCTCTTTTAGCATGTTATACGAACATAAATGCAATTTTTTCGCCATGTTATATGAACCTGTGTTATAGGGGGGGTCTACTGTACCACATACTTCATCCATAAATTTCCAAACATCCAAAAATAATCATAATTCTAGCAACTAATGGATCACTTTTTGTTGGAAAAATATCTAATACTAAATCTCCATTGAAAATTCATTCTAATTCAAGCTCTAAAATGTCTGAATGTTTGGAGATATATTTCTTTGGACAAAAGAAATTCTTATAACAAATTATATACTGTAATAAACCCATTTAACAGGTTCAGTGCCAAAGATACTTTGGAGTAGCCTATGCTATCTTATCTAATATGCCAAGGATGTTTGTATGTTCCCTCAAGGTTTGTTTATCTCGTTTTGAAAAATTTTATCGTTATTTATAGAAAAGAAAGTTAATTTTATTGTTTACTTCAAAGAATGTAATTCATCTATTGATTTTGGATTAGTAAGTTTGTGATTAAATATTAACAGTTTGTATTTATGAGGGTACATTGAAACAAATGCCTCCAAGATCATAATTTTTTATTAATAAACATATTTCAGAAATGTAAGTATGAAAGGATAATTGAAAATATTCTCTATCCATTGACGTAATCACTTTTCCACATAATTCCCATTTATGGCAACATACTTATACCAATGTACAATGAGATGTGCAAATCTAATCCTGTAAAAGTCAAAAGTCCTCTTGTGCAACCACTTCAATACCTCTGCTATCACCATCACATCTGAAGAGAAACGTGCACTCAAAACATTGCTTAAGCTTTAGAAACAAGAAAAACTTGCAAGGTGCAAAGTCTGGGCTATAGGATGGAGTAAAATGTCATCAAACCAAAGCTTCTCTATTGTGTGTGTTTGCTTGCTTGTGTGAGGTCAAATGTTGTCTTGGTGGAGATTTGTCATCATCTCAGAACAAACCATATGAAGCCGTCGCTTCAAGATTTCTTTGAGTGACAATATATTGTTACAGGTTGATAGACATGCCATAGTCTAGGAAGTCAAGATGAATGATATCATTGCAGTCCCAGAAAACAGTAATCAACTTTTCTTGTTGAGGGAATTGCTTTGAATTTCTTCAGTTGAGGTAAAACTTTGTGTCTGTACACCAAGGACTGACATTTTATCTCAGTAAGGGTGTGACTATGCAGATGTGAATTTAGTAGTGAGCAAGAGGTTGCAAGTGATATAATTCTCAGAAAGAAAAACATGCACAAGCGAGAAATCTTGCTGGCATGAACAAATTTCTAGTTCTCGCACATATCTGACAGGGTTTGATATTTATCGCATCTTACTTCTTCTTGCCACATATTCTCACTCACTTGTGTCTGCATAGACGCACCCTAACATTTTAGTATGCCCAGAATTTGTCACCAGTCACAATTCTAAGGAGAAAGGCATCACCATCTGTGCCTTAACAGGTCAAGAGTTGTTGACAAATTTCTTTTGCTGGTCTTTCATTTCATCAGTTAACTGTCGAGGTACCCAATGCACACAAAATTTCCCGTATTGTCTGCCACACATTTCAGATAATGTGATGCACTTTCTCCTAAGAAATATCCAAAATTTCTGCATTTCAATTCTCATAAACCAATTTGTAAACAGAAGCCACTTGCCCGTTGCCACAAGCAGATACCAATCATCCACCACATGCTTGGTCATCCCTCAGATTTGTGTCAGCAGGATTCTCATCTTTCATAGTTCTTACCCTCCTTCTAACTTTACTGACATCAATGCATGCATCTGCATATAGAGCATGTCAATTGGAGCCACTCTCTTTGCAGTAAGAAATTTGACAACAGCTAGCTCATTGCTTTACCAAATGTTCATGTAAGTAATCATCTTCAAATCTGAAATGTGCAAATACAATGTTGCTGAGAATCACCATTAGGTGGACATGCATACCAAGAATCAAGAAAAATTCCAAGCTTCTTTGGCATAATCTGTCCCATCATCATAAAAGTTATGACCTTGAAGACATTACTTTTGAATATAACCACACAAAAGTTTTGTGGATTGCAAAGATTGTCTAGTGAGAGTGAATATTTGCATTAGTATTCTGTATATTAATATTACTGGTCCAAAAAACTTGTTACGAATTATAATTATAAAAATTGTATTTTTGTTTAATGAAGTTTTCCAAATCTATTAATTAATTTTTGTGTTTCTTTATTAAAATAAATTTTTATTTACAAATTTGACACACATATTGGCAAAATAATATAAATTTTCTTTTTAAATTTATTAAAAAATGTCACACAAAATATCCTTTTTGCAATTAATTTAAATTTTTCAGCATACTGACAGGAAATTTGGATTTATATAAGCAGTAAACATATTAAATGATAAAATAATTAATTTTTTATGGTAAAATTAAAGAAATATAAAACAAAATTTAAAGTTGTTAATCTTATTCTAAACGTGATTTAAATTTCTTGCATGTGATCAGATAAAATGTATAAAATAAACACTTAAAAATGAAACGGCTCCACAAAAGCAATATTTTGTAAGTAAAGAACTAAGATTTACTTTTCTGGCAATAAAAAATAGAGGAAAACTTGGTTCACCAAATAATAATTTTATTAAAAAAATATTTGGAGTCAATAATTTAAATTGAATAAATCATTTTTAGAATATAAATATCATTGAAACAATATTTACTTACCCCAACTCTGAAAATCCCATTTCAGCTCCATAAAGAAGTCACCCATTTGATTTAACGCACGAATTAAATCGGGTCTTCTTAATTCCATCGCTTCGCGAGATTGAGATTTCAGTTTTCTCAACAGAGACGCAACTAATAAAGTAGTAATTATCATTTTTAATTCATAAAATTTTACAACTAATTTGATAGAATTTTAAATTAGTTTATTTGTTTCAATTAATTCTTTTTTGAAAAATCATTCACAAAATAATATCTTTTCACAAAAAACATGCAAATATCATCTGAAAAAATGTATGAAAGTTTACAACAAATCTATTAGACAAATTGGAGTTGGATATTAAAATAGGAGAAATGTTAAATAAAAAATATCTGAGTTTACAATTAAATAACAAAATTAATTTAGTAAGAGAGATGACATCACAAACTTAATACTTGTGATGTACAGTCTAACAGAAGTATAAACACACCTGTTTTTTTAATTAACTTAAATTTAATTTATTACTTAACAAAAAAAGTTTTATAATAGATATAAAATAATTACGTCATTTACACAACTTTTTAGATTTTGACTAACAAAATTATAAACACAGTGTTAAGAAATAACAAAAATTGTTTTGATATTTTTAAATCCCATCTTTTGATGAAATTAGTTGAAATATTCTATCTGCCATTGAGTTTACTAATTTTTAAATTTCTTCAGTTAGTGCCTGCCATGCTTCCATAATTTCCAATTTTAGTTCATTTACACTGTTATACTGATTGTATCCTCCATAGACAGCAAATGTTAGACAGCTCTATAAATTTTTAATTGGATTCATATCTGGACTTCTAGATCAATTACCTTATTTCTTTCTTTTTTCAAGCCATTGTTTTGTTGATTTTGAGGTATGTGCCAAAGCATCGTTCTGTTGCAATTTCCAGTTACTTCCACCAATTAATGGCCCAAATGTAATTAAGTTGTCATAGAGCATCTTTTCAGTTTTCACAGTTCATTTTACCACTAATAAAAACATCTCTCTCTTATCACTATATCCAAAACCTGCCCATACCTGATCCTCCTCCACACTGTCTACTCATTTTCACTTTTTCATTCTTTTTTAAGTCATTCCAGTAACTTGAAGTCATCCAGTCCATCTAAATTCCATTTTTGTTTTTTTAAATCTGTAAACACTATTTTATGCCACTCTGAGATCCAGGACATTTTTTTCTTTTGCCTGTTGAAGTCTAGCTAATTGGTGCTGTTCAGTTAATTTTAGTTTGTTTCATTTTTAGGAAGTTCACAGTTTGATTATTATTTAGGGTTCTCCAAGCAGTCATGTGCAATACATTTGTAGGTAGAGCAGCTGCAGCTTCTCTTCATGGCATGTTTTTGTTTGTTATTAATTGAAATACTTGGCATCTATCTTCATCAATCAGGCTTTTAGGCCTACTGTAAGGAACCAAGTCCGAGCATTATTTTTAGTTTTCTTTTTTGCTTTTTATTCTATTTTTGTTTGGGGCTTATGTTTTATTAGGACGAAGGTTTCCTCACCACTTACCTTAGAAACTTAAAAATAGAAGAAAGAAAATCAACTCACCGACGAAGAAAAAAAAAGCGCCATAGAAAAAAACTCGCACACACTTGCGCTCCTGAGAAGAAAAAGTAAGTCCGCACCAAGAAACAGGGGTGACCCAACGAGCACAACTTAGGAACTTGCTTAAACCTTAAAGAATAAAACATCCTGAAAAATTGTATAAAAGAATAATGTAAAAGGTTAGCGAGTATTGTCGGGAAATAGGCTGCCAGGCAGAAAGGAAAAGTTAACTGTTAGCGATAAGTATGTAAATGAGGGGAGTGATTTCAATCAGAATTGTGACGTCACCTCATAGTATAAAGTCCAAACCTCAAGTGAAGATGACAGAGGTGAGCTTCTGTTAGCAACGAGCGTGGTGAGCTTTGTAGCAACAAACGACAAGAGGTGTCCGAGAGCAATAAAGTGGTTCCAAGGCGATTTTGAAGTTATTCGATTTGTGGATCGAAGATTAGAGAAAGTCTTGAGAGTTGAGGAAAAGGGTTCCTAGTGTATTGAGGTGATGATTAGGACCTTAGTTCAAAAGAATTGTTGTACATAAGTTAAGTCTTTGAATTTTTTGTCGAGTTCCAAAGGGGTATAGATTTAAGTTAGCAAATAGAGTGATTTGAGTTTTGTCAGGTTGATTCTTATTGATTTTTTTCTTTGAATAAATTTGTTGTTGATTGTTACTAATTTTTGTACATAGTCGTTATTATAATTATTAAATATTGAATTTGATTTTGACTAACTTTGTCATTATTTAATTCGGTGCACACTTAAAGTCCGGGCCTGGCACATTAACGCGAATCCACGTAAAGTACCCATTAGGTAACGGCTATTTCCGGCACAAAGTTGTGTTGCTAATCATTGTAAAAAGCATAAAAATAACTTAGTACTTTACACTACCAGATCATTTAATTTTTCTATACTGTTCTTTTTGCTGTAAAACAAGCCTTACAGCAGATGTAGAACGATTCACACTAGCTGCTACTTATGTTAATGACTTGCCAGATCCACATAGTAAATGTATTTCGTGAATTTCTTGTTCTGTTAGACTGAACCACAAGGCATTGTTTAAAATCCTTTCAAAATTTCTAAACACTGTTTAAATTGCCACCATATTTGATTTCAAAACTATTGTTGCCCTCTATTGTTAATAATAAGAAGAGCAACTTAAATTATTGTACATTTTTAGTCATTTTTAACTCTGTGTTTATAATTTTGTTACAGTCCAAAATTAAAAAATTGAAATAACTTTTAAACTAGTGATCATTTTAATATAAAAATTTACCAAAAATGTATTAAATTATTATCTATATCTATAAATAATTTTTATAAATTTTTAACCTAAAATTAAAAAAAATTAAAAAAACAGGTGTTTATACTTTTGTTATTGATTGTAATATCTCACTAAATTAATTAATAGGCAATAAATGTAAAAACTGTTTAAATATAATTTGAAATAACAGGAATATACGGTAACAAGACCAGACACGGCAAAATGAGACAAACATTAAGTACTCAGAAACTGAAAATATCGAAGGAAGTACAGGATAAGACACATTTAGACAAAGTCAGACATAAAAACTTAATGACTGCAACACAACCAATAGATAAATGGACAGTTAACAGAATATTATAATGGCCAAAACACATAATATAAAAAATAGATGAGATTCTACCGAGAGAGATTTACAATTAGAGAACAACAGGGCAATGAGGAAGAGGAAGATCTAAGAAAAGATAAAAGAATACTATCAAAAGAAATCAATGAATACATTCCGGTATTCTCTGTCAAGTTTGTATGGGTAATCCGATTTGACTTTACCAAAGCATCTAATGTAGATATTTATAAATTTTTATTCGTAAAAATACATAAAAGAACAATTTAAACATCACATCTAATATCAATAATAGTTCTTATTAATCTTTTTAATTAAAAGTTAGAATTATTTTGAATGTACTTAAATTTTGATTTTCATTTTACAAGTTCTCTTCCATTTTTAATTTTGGATTTTAAATTTTTTATCTTCACATTATGAAAATGTTATCATCTTTATTTTACAAATTAGGATATAAAAGAAATCTCTAGATATAGATTAACATTAAAGGTATGGTTTAAATAGAAAGCAAAAGGAATGGCAAAGACAGAGAAGGTGGACTTATTCTATACATTAAGGCAAAAAAATTAAAGAATTATCGTTCAACTTATAAGACATAAAAAGACTCATTTCATTCACTGAATTAATCATAATTACGTGATTTTAATTTTGTTGTGCCTACTTCAGTGACCGATACAGTCTGTCCAAAAGTTCGGTACAGTGTAGCATATTGTTACTAATCATTTATAAATGTGCACGATACTGTTTAAAATAACTATTTAACTTGCATAGATAATAGATAAAGAGGTCTAATGTTAATTAAAAAATCTGTATTATCATCAAAATATTTGAAATACTAAGTATACTTTGCATTTATTCAAAATTTTCACAGAATGCATAGAATTCAACAAAAATAATCTGGAAATATTACTTAATTTCTCAAGTATTTATATAAACATCACTTATGTTAATGCAGAAAAATTGATCGGTTGTCTGCCCTAGTTTACGATTCGCTGATATTTTAAAAATTAATTAATAAAAAAGAACAAACAATCCTGTCATTGCTGCTATTTTATAGTTAATTTGAATAATTTTTCATTTATTGATGACGAGTTTAACTTCTGTTTTCCATTTATAATTACAATTATTTTTAAACTCTTGATAATTTTGACAGTTTGTAAAAAAAATAAATATCAAACCATACTGTCATATATTCAAGAACACGAAACAACCATGACAAAGACAAAAGATGCTTTAATAGAATGGAATAACACAAAATTTTCAAATTACTGTTCTCAATAACAAAAATCTAGTACAAAAAAAGTGTTTAAATCCATCATTGCAACAGAAAGTGGATTAAAATGCTTTGTTACAATGAGAAACACTATTATTAAATTTAAACTAGCTTAACTAGTTTGTAATTATTTAATCTGTTACTTGAATAGATTCTGTTTAGAATCTCTTCAAATATAACTATGCAAATAAGTTACAATTTTCGTCATCATCAATTAAAAGATCTTACTTGTCTGTCTGTCTCCGTAACTGATGGCCTCCGCCAATGGGCTCCAACCATAGATGTTCTTCATTTTGACCGGCGCTCCATGCGCAAGTAACAATTGCACACATTCTAATAAATAATAAAAGTAAGAGAATGTAAATTCTTCTTATATTCAGCATTTTTATTTGGCATTAAATTCAGTGTAAAACTTCAAGTTATATCAAGCTTTAGACAGAATTTAATGCAAAATGATAATAATTATTAAATTAATTAATTGATTTAGTCATACTACAGCCCAAGTGAAATTTGCTTAATACTAAATGCTGGACTTTGTTTACAGGTAATATAAGACACATTTTAAAAATTTTCCATAAACTTTATCAAATTATGCAATGCATAAATGTAATTCATTAAAAAACAATTGTAAAACTAAGAAAAAGTCACATANACTACAGCCCAAGTGAAATTTGCTTAATACTAAATGCTGGACTTTGTTTACAGGTAATATAAGACACATTTTAAAAATTTTCCATAAACTTTATCAAATTATGCAATGCATAAATGTAATTCATTAAAAAACAATTGTAAAACTAAGAAAAAGTCACATATTTTTAACTGGAAGCATTTAAAAGCAAACTTCCATATTAATATTCAATAACCGTAATGATGATAAACCATTTTCAGATTTTACTTTGATATTTTAAAATAATTTAATTCTAAATCTCTAAATAATTTTAAATTTCCAGAAATTATTAATAATTAACAAAACATACTTTGTCCTCACAAATAGGAACAGATGCATTTTCATTCGCAGCTGCTGTCAAAAGAATTTTTAATACGGAAAAAAATATATGCAAAATATAATACATAAAATGCATTATTTAGAAGCTTCTCTTTAATATTTTGAATATTTTTTCTTTAAACATGCACAAACACGACATCCATCGATCATGTTAATCGATCTGGCGTCATCACAAGATAAAATATTTTGGTTTCAAATGTCGGAAATACAAAAATTAAAATCAAATAATACTAAAAATAATGCATCTGTCAAACAATGCACATTTTTTTTTTTTTAAATTTAAATTCTACAAAAATTGTTTATGTTTAATTTATTAAAAATTCTAATAGTTAAGATGTAGAAGCTAGCATCCAGTCAAAACAAAAATTACAAGATCTTGAATTAATCATTTTTGTTATTGTAATACTTTTATTTATTGTTACATATTATAAATAGAATTTGTGATATTTAAGATAACCTATTCCTTCCTAAAGGAGTGAAAATAATTAATTAACTTTGTTTATGTCAGAGAGAATTATAATGTTATACATATGTGATGTTTTACTTAAGGAGAAAAATAATTAGGGATTCTTATATTTGAGCCTCTTCCATTTTTATTTTATTTAACATTTTATTAATTTGCACATTCATCGAGTTAGCTAAAGTTGATCAGAATGTAAAAATCTGGGGTTAATTTTCAATAAAAAACTGTTAATTGTAGAATGTTTTAATAGAATAATAAAAGACCTTTCAAGATGTGGGATTACGCAGTGATTTCATAGCTATATATCATATAAATCTGCACTTCGATAATTTGCGAAAGGGGAAATCCTTGATTCACTGTTGTCTTCCAGTATGGTTGGCTGCTAAGTTGATTCTAGATTTTTATTAAAATAAATGACACATTAAACAGTTGATTTGTTGTTTTAACAAATTTTGCAACCTTCTTTACACCAATTTCATTGATGTAATCTGTGCAAAAATTATTTTCAAAATTTTATCATCATTTAAATATTTATAATATAAAATTTTATCAAAATATTTTAAGGGTTTTTATCATCTTGTAGAGTTGGGTTTCCTTGTCCAAAATAGATTAACCCAAATTACATCTTATCTGTATATTAATAGATACTGTTTAGATATTCGACAGCAATCCTTTTAAATCGACTGGAACTAGAAAATTCTTTACATGACAATTATGTAAATTTTAAATGTTTCAGTAAAAGAAAACTTCTTGTTTATTTTATGTATGTGATGGGAGATTCTTTCTTGCCTGAATGGGTATTTCCATTAATTTCCAAAATAAATTATTTTATCATCACTATAAAGATATTCCCTTGATCATGCTTATGTTGAAGTAATTAATAAATGATGCTTAGTTTATTCATTATATATCTACTATGAGAATATTTATGAAAGAGACAAATAATTGAGTCCCAAACTCCCATAATATTGTTCTTTGTACTTTTGTTCTTATATTATAATATGCTCCATATTTTCATGCAGAATATTATATCGTTGAATAATAAGAGCAACAATTTGTACTAAGTAAAATTGTCACCAACCTCGAAATTAGTCCAGTCGTCATCAAAATTAATCATGTTTCTAACATTTTTGACCTACACTGAAAGTCTTCACCAGGAAATTAGAACATAACAGAATCTTCAAACAGGAAAATTTAATTTTATCAAAATTGGCAGTTGTGCGCTTATCTTGTAAAACATTACGAGGATGCGCACAACTGCTGATTTAAATTGTATTCAATATGAAATTAAATTTTTCCATTTGAAAATTCTATGAATATTCTGTTATGTTCTAATTTCCTGAGGAAGACTTTCAGAATATGTCAAAAATGTTAAAAACGTGATAATTTTGATGACAACTAGACTAATTTTGAGGTTGGTGACAATTTTACTTAGTATAAACTGTTCAACTAGTTAGAATTTCAAAAATTATTAACAATTTGTACTCTATTTTACATGGTCTTTATGATTTGTATACAGTATTTTAATTATAACACAGTAAGGGGATTGTACAATACATATGATATAATTAATATACTTTCAATTTTAAGATAAATAACACAATTAAAATTTTAAAAATTTGAAGAAACCAAGTCATCTTTCTGCCACATTCAATCATCAGAAAACAATAGTCTTTCTTCAGAGAAATGAGTTTTTAAAATTATATACAGTTGACCTCCCTACAAGACAGTAGATACGTTCCATTCCTTAGGAATCCGATTTCTTACGAGTCCTTCCAATCACAGCCCGACACGTGTCAAGTTTACGGACTACGGCTGTCTGAAAGGTTTTCTTCCATAAAATTAATCGATTCTAGACTAATCCGACTCAACATTTCCAAAATACGTATATTTTTTTTGGAAATAATCCGTATAAACTACGCTATAAACAAAAAATTGTAGGATTACTTACCGAGTGTGCACCATTCGACATTGCCGTTGCTCAAGCTTGTTTTCGTCACGGAACAGCTCAACAAACTGTGGCCGCGATTTATGATGTTATTTTTCTGCGAAAACTTCGCTGAACTTTGGAGACATCATTAATATAAATAATTTTTATGGCCATTGAATAAGAAATGTTTCTTTCACAAGAAATGTATAAAATTACAGTACTGTATTAAACTTATGGTACCTAATTTACATACTGTACAATAGTTCGCCTAAACTCTCCATAGCGTGGCGTCAGGCAGCGGAAAATATATATATAATTATAATAAAGTTACAATAAATTAAGTTAATATGTAATTATATATACAATACCTAATTTATATATAATTTATATATAATACTGTACAGACGATAGTAATCTCTCTGTAGCGTGGCGCTTGACGGCGCGGAAAGTAGTTCGGCTGCCTGATGACGTTTTATGTAATTATAGAAGTGTTTTTACCGTTTTTTACGGATACCATCGCAATTTTTTCACTGTCTTATAGGAATCGTAATTATAGGAACCCGTTTTATAGGGGTCTACTGTATATATATTTAATTGGCTTATCATTATTTTTTAAATTGTTTTACATATTTCTGCAGAGGCATAGCCTACAATAAAAGGTCATCTCTGTGACAAAAGACTGTTATTGTTTTCTGATGATTGAACATGGCAGAAAGATGACAACTTAGTTTCTTCAAATTTTTTTAATCTTAAAAAATACCATCAGCCATTTTTAATTCAAACACAAAAATAAAGAAGAAAGTATGTTGTCTTCACATTTCCATCATGTCTAATCAACTGTTTTACATAATTTTTGTGTAGATTCTAATAAAAAGTCATCTCTGTGAAGGAAGACTGTTTTATTCCTGATGATAGGACATGACAGAAGTATGAAGACAACTTACTTTCTTCTATATTTTTAACTGTGTAAAAATATAATCAGCCATTTTAGTTGAAATTAGTATATAATAACTTATTTATATATAGATATGATACAGGTGATGGTGGAAGCGTGTTCATTTTACTTTTTAATTTTTTTGAACGAAAATTATATAAATATTTGAGGCGATGTGTTAGCAAAGCCTCTTCTATGTGGCTTACAGAATTGGGTTTGTTTTCAAAATCTATTCCATCAATTTTGATTAAACTTTGCTATTTTCCATTAATTGCAATGAAGAATCCAAAAATGTAATAAAATGTGGGTCCATAACCGCATTTTTGAGAGCGTGTGATAAAGTGATGTCGTACAATGTTTCACGGTTGCTACCAAGTCTTCTATGGGCCTCGCTATGTGTGTTCATTCTCAAAATTTAATGGGCCAATTTAGATAAAACTTTGCCATTTTCCATTAATTATGGTGAGAAACCCAAAAATGAAATGAGAGTCCATTTAAATGTAAAAAATAGAAGTCCATGAATTTGTTTTCAATATACAGAGAGAGGTATTAAAGTGACAATGTCTTTGCTCTCTGATGCAACTGAGCATGCCTAACAGAATTTATACCTAGGAATCAAAAATAAAAACAGCACCGTTTACACCTAAAGGAAAATACACATGAATAAGGAACAAAGCAATTGTCATTAATTGTTTTATTCTTGGATCTCCTTTCTACAGCTGGCAAGTATAAGGATCACCAGTTTTGTGGCACCAAGTTCACCTATCCACATCTGTCAGATACAAGGTTTGCCTCTTCTGTTCCTAACAAGTGCAGGTATCACTTCTTTCTGGCATCCCTGCAATTCTATCACAATACAAACATCCTAGTCAACATTTCTGTCATTAAGATAATAAAGTACAAAATTATACTAATTATTGTATATGCTCATCATCCATTTAGGTCTGGCATTTTCTTAAAATTAGAGGAAAATCTAATGGCTTATGTATCCCGCTAATTTTATTATTATTATGCAGACATTTCAATTTATCAAATACCACCTGGAATGATGGTTATCTTTGCTATTTCAATCTTGAAAGTGTAGAATGTCATTCTCCAAATAACATATACTTTTTGTATCAATTTAATCAAATAGCTGATCTCTTCATTTGTTTGCAATCTTTTGTATGTTTGGTCTTTTATTGTGATATGTGAATTAGTCTTTTCTGTTTGAGGTTTTGGCACTAACTGTTGTCAGTTTGTATAGATATCTCCAATACCTTATTTTTTCTTGTTTTCAGAGCAAAATCATTAGCATCCTTGTTGGAACGATCTGGATAAGAACTAAATTGTGAACCTTTGTCTCTTCTATGAATGACAAAAATTTTATTTGTGTTTTTAATGTTTTACCTTTTTGTATGCTTTTACATATTTGTATTGTACAGTTCTTTTGTTTTTATCCTTATATTGTCTACTTTATTGCAATATACTTTTTATAATAGTCTCTTTTGTCATGTAATGTTCATCCTTTTGTATTCTTATGCAGTTTACTGTTATTGCTACTTATTTTTCTTTCGTGATCTTTTGTTATAAGCACTGGCTTTTGAGGGAAACATCTTTTATTGTCGTCAAAACATGGCCAATTATACTGATTAATAAAAAATAATTATGGTCTCAAACTCTCCTACAATGTTATTAACACCAAATATGTTTGCCCATACAAGTCATACATTATCTAATATTTTAGCTGGCAGTACTTTTTATTAAAATTATTTAATTCTAATATGTATAATTTATTATTTTAAGGACTAAAATTATTAAAAACATTAACAACTGAAAACTAAAAGTTTCAAATGATTATATTTTTGATTTGCATTCTTTTGGTACTCGTGGTTTCCAGTTGATTGTTGTCTGACAAAAATCGATTAAACATTCAAAAGTATTAGCAATAAATCATTTTGGCCATATTAATATGGTGTTCACTATTTACTATTTTATAAGACATAAAACACAACTTACCACACTGGAATGATATAGTAAACACTTCAATCAATATAGAATCAAGCCCCAAAATCTCCAATTGCAGAAAGATGTTAATCAAAAAACTTTTTCAAATTAACCCTTACTGGAAAATAATTTAAGGCTTTTGATTGTAGTGTTTACTATTTTATATTTTAATTATTATGTCAGCATTACTCATCAGTAAAAACATATTAAACTTTCAATTGCAAAGAAACATTTTACAGCCAACGACCCAGACGCATTACTGTCATTCAAACAACCAGATTTTAATCTGGGTCAAACTCTCAGAAATTTCTTGAGATGGCTTGGCTCCCTCACTAGTAATTGTATTGCCTTATTCTACAAACCTGGTCAAATCCTCAATGAGTACAATAAAAATACATTCTTAGTGTCCACAGGGCAAAAAAGTTAAAAATAAAATAAAATTTGAGAAATTATTCAAATAATAGTTCAGTCAAACCCCAATTTATACATTTCTTGAAGGTATGTTCTTTGCAATTATACATTAAATATTTTCTGTACAGTACTTCTCCATCATAAAACACTTCAGTTATGTTTTATATTTATACAATTTTGAACTTATATATCATACTTTTTGGTAGCCTACAGCACTTTCTCACTTATGCATTATTCACTTTGAAATGGAAAAATTTTGTATATTTCTTGACAAAAAACTTTTGTTAAGAATTATACAGTGTTAATTTGTGCCATGTTGTACTTTTCTGGCAACTACATTCATTCCAAAATCAATTCAAAAGTAGTTTTTTTTGTATGTTCTTACTTGTACAATATTTTTCTCAATTTGCTTGAAAACTGTATAAATGGGAGTTTGACTGTATTGCTAAAAAACCAGGAAAGACACAAAACACATTTGGGAAATTAATTTCTCATATTGAAAAGGAAGAAACCAAAACTCATATAAGTTTAATCCTCCATTTACATACTGTATTACCTTAGTAGCAATATCATTCTAATATATATAATTGGACAGAGAAAATGACAAATGCGGAGGTTTTGGGCAGGCTGGGCTTGAGGAGAGAGTTGCTTATAAATATCCAACAAAGAAAAGTACGATATGCTGGACATTTAGCTAGAAGATCAGGAGGACAACTGCTAAAGATGGTGATTGAGGGACTGGTGGAGGGTCAAGACCTAGAAGAAGACCCCGAAAGACTTGGAGAGACAACATTAAAAACTGGACTGGAAAGGATTTAAGAGAAGCCTGGAATAGGGAAACATGGAGAGGAATAGTTCATCAAATGCAACCGTCTGTAGAGAGGATGCCACTGGATAGATAGATAGATATATAATTATTGGTATTTGAAATAAATGACAATTTCAACATTAAGGTTTAAATTAACCCTACATATTTTTTACAATCCAAAATAAAATACTTCTATAGAAACATCAATAGTGTTGCAACAACCTAATCCAATTTTTACATTTATAACAATTACATAATCACATTTAATGAAAAGTGAAATTAAAACAATGACCTCATTAAATGTTTATCTCTACTTATATCTAGAAAAATAATATTTATGTCATTTTTTTAAATAAACAAAATAAGCTCATTACAATCATTTTACAAAGATCAATGCATACTTTCCTATCATTTTAAATTCTTATAAAATTTAATAAATTTGTGAATAAACTCACCTTTATGTCCCAACATAACAGCAATATGTAATGGTGTATTTCCTGAAAAAAAAATAAATTTAATTATATTATTTATAAATAATCTGTCAAACTGACAATCTGAAATCTTGCTGAGTAAGAAATTCAGTTACAGTAGAGCATCGATTATCAGAATACTAATCAACCGAAACATCGGTTAACCAAAATGTTCCAGTCAGCAAATTCAAATTTCTGCTAGTGCTGTGACATTGCAGCACTCTTTTCCTCCCTGCCAACCTAAACTGTAGGTCTACTTTAAAGTACTACTTTATATAAGATATGTATTTATGATACAAAATATATACAGTACAGTTTTGTGTTTAATATATTTTTTCGTAAATGATCAGTAACATGAAAAATTCCAGTCCCAAATTGTTTCGAATAATCGACACTCTACCGTATTTATTTTCACTTCGAATTTAGTTTAACTTTTGACTGTACGACTTATTAAACTGAAAAATAATCAATCAACCATTTTCTCTCAGAAATAAAACTACCAAATAACGAATTACATAAATGAACATTTTATTTAAATTATTCAATTTGAGATTGGGTTAATAATTGAATTCAAAACTTCAAAACTCAAAAAGATATTTCCTACCAAAATAAATCTATTTTAACTGTCAAACAATTTATGTTTTATGCAATTTTGAATGAATTTCCAAATAATGGCCAGCATTTTTCCAAAATTCTCACAATATTCAGGCTATTCTAAGATTGTTCAAATAAAAACTGCGGAAGTTAATTAAAATTATTATTTCTCGTGTCATTTCTTTCTTGTATGTTGACTTTTAATGTCATTTCTGTTATACTTGATCCAATGACATACAGGTACCATATTTGGATTTCTGAAGTTACATGAATATATATATAAACATCAATAAGCCCAACATATTAATAACAAACTAAACTATTGATGTAATTAATCAGACTATTTTTCACTATTGTTAATAATTATATATTAAGTAATTTGGTATTAAAGGTATGCTACTTGTTAGTTTTCAACAAGAGATGGCACCTAACATCTACCTCTCAAGTTAATTAATATTTAATTATTAACAGTAGTGAAAAATAGCCTGATTAAGGCAATAGTTTGATTTATTACATGAATGAGTCAACACTATTCCTATGTACAAATCTTGTTCTTCTAATAAAGGCAACATCCTCTCGGTATATCATTCAATACTCAAAAAACATTTGTTTATAATTAAGTCAAAATTTGCTTGAATGTTAATGTTTGAATTGTTTTAATTTGAATTCTCTTTTCAAAATAAACATTCCTATATGCAAGTAGGGACAATGTAAGTGTGTGATTCAGCAGTTTAAAACTGACTTGTGAGGCTTTTGGGCCGAAATCTTCAAATTTCAGATCTATACGTTTCCATGCTTCATCTGTCTATACCCTTCATTAATCTTGAAAAGAGTTAGAGAGATGAAAATTGAGACCAGATATGGAAAGCTTAGAGGTCAGAGACCCCAATTAACTATATAGAACTTTCAGTCTAGACTGGAAGTTTGAAAGTTATGTAATTTTTTAAATTAAATAATTAAAAACTGCAGCCCAAAATTGTAACAATGGGATGAGAACCTGCAACTCACACTTACCATGTGGATGCATTGCCAATTACACTACTCGGACCTCTGGTCCGATCTTGTCTTCCAGTACACAGTCAAACCTCTTTAAAATAATACCCTTTATAACAATAAACCCCAGTACGATGATAGAACTTCCATAATCTCAGCTGAAGTCCTAAACAAATACTGCAATTTATCACCTATTACGACGATAGTAAAAACCCTGATACAACAATACAACTATTGGGATATGTTGACGCAACCGATGGCTGACTGATGCGTAAACTGCGTGGCTCGCTAATTGTGTTACCTACGAAACCTCCCTGCACTCCAGAATGGTTTGTCCACATCTAGCTGATTGGTGACAATGGATGTGGTAGTGGTGATGATCGCAATCCTATTATGAAGAACTGCAAGCATGACCAATCACGAAGAGTTTCCTTTTCCCGCCAAACAAGAGCTTCAGCTAGTGGCCAAGAAGAAGAAAATAGCGGTACTAGCAGGCTGCAAAATAAAAAAAAATGGCAAAAGCCCCCAAACAAATAAGTTTAGAAATGAAGTTAGAAGTGTTCAAAGATATCGAAAGTGGAATGAAGCAAATAGAAGTTGCAAAGAAGTAGGGCTTCTCTCAGTCAACTCTAACAAGATTTTTAAAGAAACAGAAGGAAATTGAGTGCAGTGTAGTAGATGGAAACACGGATCCTTCTCGGAAACATCTGAAGATTCCTACTTGTGATGTTGACAGTGCAACATTTCGTTGGTTTACCGAGATGCGAGCACAGAATGTACCAATAAATGGGTCAGTCTTGTGCCAAAAAGCAATGCATTTCGCAAGGATGATTAAGACATATGAAATTTAAAGCTAGCAACGGATGGCTGCATTGCTTCAAACAAAGCCATGGCATTATCTTTAAAGTTGCCTCAGGGGAAAGAAAAATCAGTGTCACTTGAAGAAGCATACATAAAAAAACTAGCACACAAACTTATCATACATAAAAAACTAGCACAAAAACTGGAACTGTATACTAAACAAACAACTTAACACCTAAATTCAAATTCCAGCATATAATGAACAAATAAATTTTAATGTTCAAACATTTTTGGCTGTCTTTCAGAGGCCCTCATCAGGAAAGAATGCACAAAACAGAAAAACAGTTCTATCTTTTGAAAAGTTTTAGCTTTCGAATGTAGCTGTGTTCCAATTTTTATAAATTTAAATGATGTTCAATACAAAGTTTGTTACATATTACAATGTAACGAAAAGGCAATACACGGTAATACGTCTTTGCCATCTGTTATAAAATTTTAATTAAAGGAACTTTTTATATTACTAATTACTATAAAATGGCAAAAAGCTTAATTTTGAAGGTAGACACGAGTTTTATAAAAATTTGTAAATGCTAATAATGAATAAAATCTTCATTAAATCTGTCCCACTCCAGACAGAACATGTGACTTCCCTCTTTCTCCCCACTCTCTCAACATTTAATCACCAAAATTTAGTAGTATCAATGTCCCTATTACACAAACTCACCTGCAAAATTTCAGAAATTTTCAACAAAAAGCCCAGAAATTCTTAAGTTTCAAAGTGGATGAACATAGTCATTCCACACAAACACTCAAACATATAGGAAAAGAAACTCCGACTTTTTTCATTTCTTGACATTTTAAGGTAAGAGTAAAACATATAAAAATCTTCACGAGTCATTTTTTGACTAATTGCCATATTTTGTTTTTATATAACTGTGAGCCCACAGGCCTATCTATGGCCTGAGCAGAGGAATGAGCAAATTTTGCACAAAATTACAATTTTGTAATTTAATTTCTTAATGCAATTGTTATAAAAAAAACATGTCAATAGTTGATCACAATCATTTTCCCAGGCATCAAGCATAAAAGATTGAGATACAGAAGTTCCGGGCGGTCGTCCCATACGAAGTCCAAAAGGAAGGTGAATAGATTAATTAGTGCCCGGAGTAATCGACAACTAGGTGCAAAGTTCAGTGGACCTCCACAAACAGACTGTCCCGGCCCATGCAAGTCAACGATAAGAAGACCCACCATACAATTGCCAGTCCTCTTCGAATTCCTCTCTCTCCGATTGAACGAATGTCATCTAATTTGACCAACAAATATTGAGGTATCTATAGATTACTGTAAATGCTCTCTCAGAGGAAGTAGCAACAGAGCTAGGTCATCAGGTCAGCATGCGAGCTGATTAGAAACGTTTGTCACTCCCCTCTATAGAAGTGTATATGTAACCTCATTTAACTGCATCTAATCTTAGGCTTAGTTATATGTATCATAGGTTAGTTATATAATAAATTCTTGTTGTTGTCTGTTAAAAACCTGTCTCCTGTCACTCCAGAACACAATCACCTGTCGATTTTCCCAACTCCCTCGCCACTCGAAAAAAAAGCCATCCCAAAGACAAAGTGGGTGAGTTTTACCAACTCGACAATTAGAGGGCTCTGTCCCCTCATCCATATTCTCACATAACAGTCAGAAAAGTAAAAACAGGGACCTATTTGATTTTTATGAAGATTTTAAGCTCTTGAAAGCTGCAAACAAGAGAGAGTAATCATTCATAATAAAACACAGGATTTTAAAAAAAATTTATACATTTTTGTCTGCTCAATTTTTATTTGCTTTAGTTTTCAAGTTTTTGTAATTTTTGTAACAAATAACAATTGCCTACTGTTTTGTTGTGTTATAATTCCAGGAAAACTTATATTCTGTATCTATATTCATTACTGCATTTGTTTATCATTTTCTAATACATTATATTTTGTAACTAATTCTAATGACTTGTCTCAAAATTTTTATAGTTCCTTTCATCATTAGAAACTATTGTCTACTAAACTTTTTTGGAATCATCTACTTAGTTTGTGCAAGACAATTTGTGCATCATGTCACGATGCATTTGGACAAATCGGAGAACTTGTAACATAGCAGTTCACTTTAATTCCAGGATTACATAATCTGATATTAGAAAGAATTAATGAACACAAAAATAAAGGAACTCTCAACCTGGACTTGCAGTCTCAAAATCTCAAATTACAAAACACAATTTAAAACGCTATTGGTAAATACAGTTGAAAGAGTTCCAATTACTCAAAACCAATTGGTTTAATCAAGTTAAGCAATCATTTAAATCTGTTAGTAGCAGATAAAGATAAAAGATTTGTGTTATGCAAAAACCAGGATTTCCTATCAAGATCCAATGAATTCCTTCAACAATCCAAATCAATTATACTAAAAGAGAATCCGACAGCAACTATACTAAGGAAGATACATAAGATTATTGCACTCACAGGGGTAGCAGCTTCTTTAACTGGTTTTCTTAATCAAGTTTTCACATTATCCAGGCAAACTGTGTAAGAGCACTTAGTCAACAAAGACAAGAAACAATAGTGTTTCCTCATGAATCTTGGCCAGAAGATGTGCAG